TCTCCGGGTTTGTAGACTTGTGTTCACTTCGTCTTTTTCACGAGTTTGTTTTCATTTAACGGTTTTTTAAAGCACTGTTTGGACGTGACGTGCTTTCCTGTGGAGCTAACGTTAGCTTAGCTCCTTAGGCTAACGTTAGCCTAGCTTAGCTCCTTGAGCTAACTCATCAGAAACAGTTAACAGTGATTTCTTTTTTTATCCAAAAACAAAACACAGGGAAATAATATCTCACATCTGAGCGACGACTTTCTGTCTAAACTGCGGGCTCCTCCAGTCGCTGTCCGGTCCGGGGACCTCCATCACAGAAACAGTTTATTTATTATTTATGAGCTTTTTACTTGAAGAGTTTAATGTTTTCTCTGCTCTTCCTACTTCCGGTCTGAGCAAAATGGCGGCCGCTGTGTTTTCTGATAAAACTCAGTACCGCCGCGTGCTGGACGGAAGTAGTACTAACACTAATACTGGTACTAATACTACACTGTGAAATACTGTTACAGTGAAAGTACTAATACTACACTGTGAAATACTGTTACAGTGAAAGTACTAATACCACACTGTGAAATACTGTTACAGTGAAAGTACTAATACCACACTGAAATACTGTTACAGTGAAAGTACTAATACCACACTGTGAAATACTGTTACAGTGAAAGTACTAATACCACACTGTGAAATACTGTTACATCAGTGGTGGTCCATCAGGGCCTGCAAGGCCTTCTCTGCTGGCCTAAAGAGAATCACAAAGTTATATCTATTTTATAATTTAATATCCATCCATCCATCCATCCTCCTCCTCTTATCCGGCGTCGGGTCGAGATGGCAACAGGCCAAGCAGGCTGACCCAGACCTCCCTCTCACCGGCAACATGTTCCAGCACATTCTGGGGGATCCCGAGGCGTTCCCAGGCCAGCTGGGAGATGTAATCCCTCCAGCATGTTCTGGGTCTTCCCCGGGGTCTCTTCCCAGTTGGACGTGCCTGGAAAACCTCCAGTGGGAGGCGTCCAGGAGGCATCCTAATTAGATGCCCGAACCACCTCAGCTGACTCCTTTCGACGTGAAGGAGTAGCGGCTCTACTCCAAGCTCCCTCCTGATGACCGAGCTCCTTACCCTATCTCTAAGGCTGAGCCCGGCCACCCTACGGAGGAAACTCATTTCGGCCGCTTGTAGCCGCGACCTTGTCCTTTCGGTCACGACCCAGAGTTCGTGACCATAGGTGAGGGTAGGAACGTAGACCGAGTGGTAAATTGAGAGCTTTGCCTTCCGGCTCAGCTCCCTCTTCACCAAGACGGTCCGGTGCAGCGCCTGCTTTACTGCTGCAGCCGCACCGATCCGTCTGTCGATCTCCTGCTCCATCTTACCCTCACTCGTGAACAAGACCCCGAGATACTTGAACTCCTTCGCTTGCAGTAGGCACTCCGTCCCCACCTGGAGGGAGCAATCCACCGGTTTCCGGCAGAGAACCATGGCCTCAGATTTGGAGGTGCTAACTCTCATCCCCGCCGCTTCACACTCGGCTGCAAACCACCCCAGTGAATGCTGGAGGTCACGATCCGAGGAGGCTAACAGGACCACATCATCTGCAAACAGCAGAGAGGCGATCCCGAGACCCCCGAACCTGACGTTCTCCACCCCCAGGCTGCGCCTAGATATCCTGTCCATGAAAGTTACGAACAGGACCGGAGACAAAGGGCAGCCCTGGCGGAGGCCAACACCCACCGGGAACGTTTCTGACTTATTGCCGAGAATGCGGACACAGCTCCTACTGCAGTCGTATAATTTAATAATTTTTCTTAAATACACTACATGTATTATAATTTATAAAAATATTTTCCCAATTATCTTATGTTCTCATTGCACAGCTCCTGTCTTCCTCAGTTGCTCTGCTTCCAGTGCAGCTTGTTTTAAGTAGAGCTTTTATCCAATCAGATTTCACCTCTGTGTCTCTAGGTAAGAACAGAGGCAGAGGCCTGCAGACTCACAAGTGCATCCATGTGCAGTTTAAGTGAATAGGGACGATATTGTTGATTGTCATAGTGTTCAACCAATCAGATCTTTAGTTTGACATGTTGGGCGTATTCTTTGACGTGTCAGAGCCTGCTAGCTGGTCTACAAGTACGTGATTGGTCAGTGGGCTAGCGTGACATGTTGGGCGGTGACAATCCCAATATCTGCTGCCTCTGTGGAGCGGACATTTTCAGCCTCAAACGCATTAAAACGTATTCAAGAAATACAACTGGGGAGGCTCGACTGTCTTCACTGGCGTCCATGAATCAAGAAGGACTTCTTACTGGAACTAAAACACACGGATGTACTGAACAACCGTGAGATTAAACTCTTTATTAACAAAGAAAGGAGGATGGACTTCGTCTTTAAATAGTGAACAGCAGCTCTGGTAAGTTAAATGTGTTTGTTTTTACATCTACAGTAGCTTTAATATGCTTGTTTATATATTATTATTTGTACAACTTGTTTTTATGAAGATGGATTGTTTGGTTTTATATGTGATAGGAACCATGGTTACATCCAATGTTGCTCTGGGGACACATTTAGCCGGTGAAAGTACTACTACCACACTGTGAAAATACTGTGTTGCAATAAAAGTACTACTACCACATAATACTGTAACACAGTATTTCATAATGATAATAATATAGTGCAGTAGTACAGTACTCTGAGTTGTAGTACTGTGGAAAGTACAATATTTACTGCAGAGATGTAGTGGAGAAGTAAAAAAGTGGCATGAAAAGAAAACACTCAAGTACAAGTACCTCAAATTTGTACTCAAGTACAGTACTTTAGTAAATGTACTCAGTAACTTTCCATCACTGTGGATTGGTCACGTCAGCCAATCACAGCGGACGTAGAGAGGAAGTTCATCACATGATGTCATCGTGACATCATCCTTTTCTTCTCTCAGCTCTGTAGTTAGAATATAATTTATATATTAAATACACTTAAATTACCAAAAGTAAAAGTACTCACTGTACAGAATGGCCCACTTCATAATCTGGATTATTATATTGTTGTGTTCTGATTATTGGTGCATTAATGTGTTTGTCTCTTTAACGGTGCAGCAGCTGAGGGTGGGACTCATTTTATCGTCTGAAAGAGAAACCAGATCTGGGGTACTTCTCGGCCGTTAAACAAGTGAAGTACTCTTATTTGTTTGTATGATGATATTTGGAGGACAATGTTCACTGTGTGTTGTTTTTGTTTGTTGCAGTGTTTGTACACAGAATCTACAACCTCCATCTTTGATCTAATCCTGAGAACAAGATGATGCGTAACATGCTGGATAACGTGGATAGAGCGATATGGGTAATGTTTTTTGTCGAGGCGCGTATGAGGAGGATAGAGGAGGAAGAACTGGAGTGTTTCAGGAAGAAACTCACCAGGGATCCAGATCTGACCGTCAACAAGAGCATTGTGATGTTCACCGGCCTTTCCGCTTCAGACGGTCTGAGACGAGGAAGATGGAGGCGGGCGACTGCGCTGTGGACTGGATCAAGAGTCTGGCGGGCAAGCTGGCCGGCTTAAAATCAGTTCCCGCTCTGGCCGGACTCGGAGCGCTGGCCGTCGCCGTCTTCATCGACATCGTTTCCTTCAGTCCTCCCAAGGAGAGCACGAAGGCCGCTCTGCAAAGCGTGTTCGCCGATGAGAAGGCCTCGGAGGTCTGGGATCAGATCGACGAGTGCCTGAAGAGATACGTGATGCACCTTCACGACAATGACGAGCTGACAGGCGACATCCGGCGGATCGAGTGCCTGCTGAGCGTCGCCCTCACCAAGCTGAAGAACTCCATGGTGAGGGACGGGCACATGTCGTCCTCGGCTCTGAAGGCCTGGGTGAACGGAGCGGCCTTCCACGTCCAGATGCTGATTCACCTGGTGAGACTCGGAGGGATTCGAACCTGCGACCCCATAGAGAAACTCCTCTCGACCTACCAGAGCGACCCGGAGACGCTGTTCACGAAGCACAAAGAGCTGATCCAGGCAAAGTGCTGGATCAAATTAATAACCTTCTTACTTGTACCAGTTAGATTTCTGGTAACAGAAGATTCAAAGTGGTACAAGATCGGTCTCTCTGTCCCCAACGAGAAATATCACGAGGTTTATTATGATCAAAGGTACAGCAGACAGAAGGTTGAGATCCAGCAGTACTTCAGGGACGTCAGTCAGAACCTGCAGAAGCTGGTTGATCAAAGAGGCTCCTTTAACGTCCAATGAGAGAGAGGCTGACGGATCTGAAGACCAGAAGAACGTGACCGTTAACACACTGCAGCATCTCATTCCTACGTGACATCAACGTGTCTACTACTACTACTCTGAAGAAATACTCAGTTATAGTAAAATAATGAAGTGTCTTTTGTAATGGTAATGTATTTTACGTAGTATATATTCTACTCAGTATATCGTATTCATGCATAAGTAATTTTGCTCTGAACTCTGTTGAACTTCACTGTCTCTGTTGTGCAGGAGAATTCACCCTTGCTTTTGCACAAAGATAACTAACTGTGTTGTATGAGAATGTTCCAGCACCAAGGCCGTCATTAAAATATGGCAGCTTGTATTTCAATTCACAGTTGTATTTATTTACAGCTTAATCCGTCACATTTTATTTTGAAATTTGTGTTTACATCATTGTGTCTAACCCTTGTTCACGTGTTTCTGAGAGATGTAGTTTAGTTCCCTTGTAAACAAACAAACAATAAAATGAACAAAAGTAATTTACAGAATAACAAAGGGATTTAAAAATAACTATGATTGGCAAAATAAATATATTAAATAACTTCCGGTTTAATCTGTCACGTTTTTATTTTGAAACCCCGGTGTTGCTGCTGAATGTTTCAGAAGGAAAGCGCTCAGCGGGAAACCGCTGTGGCAGAACTCTCTTCTGATTGGGCGATCACAGACACGCTCACTCTGACCAATCAGACAGCAGCTTGGTTCGTATATAGTAGTGGGTTTGGGTCCCGCTGAGTTATTCTTTGGCTCAACCTCAGTAATCTAACATAGAAAGATGTCTGGACGCGGAAAAGGAGGCGGTAAAGTCAGAGCGAAGGCGAAGAGCAGGTCCTCCCGGGCCGGGCTTCAGTTCCCCGTCGGCCGTGTCCACAGACACTTGAGGAAGGGCAACTACGCCCACCGTGTCGGTGCCGGGGCACCGGTGTACCTGGCGGCGGTGTTGGAGTATCTGACCGCTGAGATCCTGGAGTTGGCTGGGAACGCTGCCCGCGACAACAAGAAGACCAGGATCATCCCCCGTCACCTACAGCTGGCCGTCCGGAACGACGAGGAGCTCAACAAGCTGCTGGGCGGAGTGACCATCGCTCAGGGCGGCGTGCTGCCCAACATCCAGGCGGTCCTGCTGCCCAAGAAGACCGAGAAGGCCGCCAAGAAGTAGACACCCGGGACCGGCTGACTAACACAAAGGCTCTTTTAAGAGCCACTCACTTACAACTAAAGAGAAAAATTCTTTAATGCTGAATAATGATTTATTAACCAACTCAATGACTTTACATGATGTGACGCAGTTTAAAACTTGTATGAAGGTAATTTAATATCTGACATTTATACATGTATAAAGAAATATCAAGATGGCTCATATTTCTATGATTACAGTTGTAATATAATGTATAAGAGGTGCTAGGAATAAAAGACTAGTTTTGAAAAAAGAAGCGGGAAGAAGCTGCTGCGTTGTGGCCTCGCCCACTGGAGTTGTCGCCTTCAGTTCTCTACTACGTCCTCAGACGAGCTTTAAATACAGCCGCTTGTTCGTCTATAACGATCCATCATCAGCTGACCAACAATGAGCGGAAAGTTTTCTGTTTCACATGGAAACGTTTGAACGATAACCCGTCGCCATAGACCTCCTCTCCACTATGAACCACCTGGAGCGTTCGTGGTGTTCAGTCAAGTGTTTGTCGACAACAAAAATGAAGTATTTGTTGGACGGACTTTGACATTCTGTGTACTCAGGAACTAGTAATGACGTAGATAATGTGCGACATGTGGCCTAAAGGTAAATGTGTAATATCTGTAGGAGAGCAGGGCTGATGGTGATGTTATCAGGGAAAGGGATTATTATAATACCAGGCAGGCTTTTGGTGATGGATTTCTTTTTAGAGGAGAAAAATGCGGAATAATAAATGTTTATACTTCTCCCGACAAAAAACCCCAAAATCAGTTTATTTAAAAGACTTAGAGAATTATTGTCTGTAGGTTATAAAATAATATTATGTGGTGACTAACAGTTAGTGTATGTGACGAAACTAAATGAATGGATGTATGTACTGTGTATGTGTATATATATGTGTATAGTATAGTATATATTATAGTATGTGTATATATATGTGTATAGTATAGTATATATTATAGTATGTGTATATATATGTGTATAGTATAGTATATATTATAGTATAGTATATATAAAAGTATGTATATATAAAAGTATATATAGTATAGTATATATTATAGTATAGTATATATAATAGTATATATAAATGTATATAAAAGTATATATAAATATATATATAGTATAGTATATATAAAAGTGTATATAAAAGTATATATAGTATAGTATATATAGTATAGTATATATTATAGTATAGTATATATAATAGTATATATAAATGTATATAAAAGTATATATAAATGTATATATAGTATAGTATATATAAAAGTATATATAGTATAGTATATATAAAAGTATATATAGTATAGTATATAAAAGTAATCCGTTTCATTTTGAAAAGTCAGCTTTTTAAAAACCAACATGGCTCAGTTCAAAATTTTGTTTCAAAACAAAACTCCTGCTCTCTTCTATATATATATGTATATATAGATATATAAAAAATATCCTGTTGAGCAGGGATTTTAGGTGACAGGAGCAGCAAGAGGGGGGAGACACACACACCTCTCTCTGTGTGTGTGTCTCTCATACAGTCATTCAGGTCTATGAGACTGTTAGAGGACTCCCCCCCCACACCCCATTTTAAAATAAAAGCCGCACTCACATGATTTAGAGATATACGTGATGCAGCTCAGCCAATCAAATATGGGTATTCTGATAAGTTTCCTGATTCGAGTGACATTTACACACACGAGAGACGAGGAAAGACATGGTAGAGCAGGACAATAGTCATGTAAGCTGTAAATGATAAATCATAGGACAATCTCCAAATGAGAAAGATTGCCAGAGAGATCAGTCTCTCTCACTCATTCTCTCTCTCTCTTTCTCTCACTCATTCTGTCTCTCTCTCTCTCTGACTCAATTCAATTCAAATTTTGCTTTATTGGCATGAAAGTTTAGAAACAGTATTGCCAAAGCATCAAAAAATGAAACATACAATAACAACAATACACAACAATATCAATATAACAATAATATTAATACAACATCTCATAAAGTGGTGTGAGACAGAGCCTCCATTGCTCCCACGTTACCTGTAGGCCACCGCAGCTCTCTGACACCGAAGCAAAGGGAGGAGCGAAGTGAGAGAGAGATCCACGGATAGATAGATCTCTCTCTCTCTCCGTCTCTCTCCCAATTCAACCCAAACTCAGATCTGCTCCATTGGCGTGAACGCCCAGGAACGGCATCGCCAAAGCGTCACCTGCTGTCCCTCAGGTTGTGGCATGTTAGTACATACTGGGCAGCAAGGTCTCCTCTCTCCTTCTCCTAGGAGGACTTTTCATTTTGAGATATCACTCCATTTTTTAAAATCTCAAATCACAGAGTCAAATTTGTTGAGGTAGATGTTCCTAATTTTATGGAATGTTTTGCATTTTAGGAGGAAGTGCATCTCCGTCTCAGCCTCACCGGTCCCACAGTGACCACATGTTCTGTTCTCTCTTGGTTGCCATGACTTTTTGTGTCGTCCTGGTTCAATCTCCAGTTTGTGGTCACTGAGCCTGTACTTGGTGAGGTTCTGTCTCTGCTTCATGTCTCTGACTGTAGAGAGGTACTCTGCCAATTCATAGTCTCTCTCTAGGGCCAGATCACATTCCAGTCTGCTTTGGCCCCCAGTTTCCTCTCTCCAGTGCTCCAGTGCTTCTTTACATCTCGCCATGATGTGTTTTACTCTGGTTGGTGTTTGGAGAGCCGTGTTGTTGAGAGACTGGTCCCCGTGTGTCTGAGAGGAGGCAGTTAGTCTCAGCACCAGCTGACATAGGGGACTCTTCTCTGGGCTCAGCTCTTGGGTTTGGAGGGCTTTGGAGTGGAGGGTGTCTGGGGGGCTGGATTTAAGGTGATTGAAGAATGTGAGTGCTCTCTTTTGAATGTTAATGATCAGTGGGTATCTAGTTCTGCTCTACATGCATTTGTTGGGGTGTTTCTGTGTAAAAGGTGTCTGCAGAATTCTGCGTGTAGAGACTCTGTTGATGTTTGTCCAGCGGGTATAACTGTGATGACTGAGTGGACCCATACTTCACTACCATACAGCACAATGGGCTGGATGACACTGTTCAAGATTTTAAGCCAGATTTTAATTGGGATTTTTAATTATAAAATGTTCTCTTAATTGCGTGTAGAGCTCTTGGAGCTTTTTCTTTTAGTGCATTTACTGCCATGTTGAAACTCCCTGATGCAGTTATGCTGATACCAAGGTAGCTATAACTCATACTATGTTCAATCATGTTGGTGTTTATGGTAAACTGGTATTTGTTCTCCTGACATCTGGGGCGTTTTTGGAAAATCATGACATTGGTTTTCTTCATGTTCACTGCCAGGGCCCAGTTGTGACAGAACTGTTGCACTCTGTCCAGCTGTTGCTGTAGTCCTGGTTCAGTAGGAGACAGTAGAACCAGGTCATCGGCATGAAGCAGACACTTCACCTCTCTCTCAAGGAGGGAGAGCCCAGGAGCAGCACATTGATCCAACTCAACAGCAAGTTCATTTATATATATATTAAATAAAGTCGGACTTAAGTTGCAACCCTGACGAACACCTCTTTTCTGGGTGAAGGATTCAGTTTGTTTGTCTCCAATTTTAACAGCACATCTATTTTCCAAATACATTGATTTAACCAGATCATATACTTTGCCCCCTATCCCACACTGTAGGAGTCTGTAGTAGAGCCCTTCATGCCAAATAGAATCCAAGGCTTTCTTGAAATCAATAAAACAAGCAAATATTTTACCATTTTTTGTTTGGTGGACATGTTTGTTAATTAAAGTATGAAGGCTATATACATGCTCGGTGGTCCGGTGTTTTGGGAGGAAGCCAATTTGATTTTTACTCAAGATGGAGTGTTCGTCAAGGAAATGTAGTATTCTTTTATTGAGAATACTACAGAATAATTTACCGAGACAGCTGCTGACACAGATGCCCCGGTAGTTACTAGGGTCTGACTTGTCACCACTCTTATGAATGGGTGAAATGAGCCCTTTGCTCCAGGAGTCAGGAAAACACCCTGATTGTAATATGATGTTGAACAACTTCAACACTGCACCCTGCATCTCTGGGGTGCTGCATTTGAGCATCTCATTTTTGATGCTGTCTGGACCACAAGCTTTCCTTGGCCGGAGACACTTTGTCTGTGTGCTCAGTTCTTCCCAAGTCATTGGGAAATCAAGGGGGTTCTGGTTGTCTTTAATTATTTCTTCTAATGTTTGGAGTTTTTCTTTTGGAATATATTGGTCTGAGTTAGTTTGATTTATTGGTATATCTTTGTACAAATGTTCAAAATGTGCTCTCCAGATGTCACCATCTTGGATGGGTAATGCCTGTGGTTGAAGTTGTTCAACATATCCCAGAATTGATTTTGATCAATGGCGTTCTCAATATCTTCAAGTTTCATGTGGGTATAATTTTGTTTTTTGTTCCTAATTGTACATTTATACGTGTTTAAAATGTCATTGTACCTGATGCGTAAGGCTGGGTTGTTTGGTTGGCGATGTTTTTCATTTGCTATTTTTCTCAGGTCTTTTCTGATGCTCTTGCATTCTTGATCAAACCATTTTTCCGTGTTTTGCCTTTTTACAGGCTTCCGTGCTTGTTTTATAAGGTCAGCTTTAATAGCTGCCTTGTGAAATATCATATTGATATCATCAATGGCCTTGTTTACACCGTCTCTGGTGTGGATATATTGTTGTTGGTCATATATTGATATGTCATCTATCAGATCAGGTGAGTTCAAGGCCATGATGAATTTGTGTCCGCTGTCTGGGGCCCATCGGTAAGTAGCATTTAATTTAAACAGCTTACTGGGTTCTTTTTTTATGTCATTCATTTGACCTGAGAGTTTAAAGAACAGATTTATTTGGTTGTGGTCTGAGAGGGGGGATTGTTGTCTGACAGTGAATGCACTGATAGTGGAGGGGTCCATGTCAGTGATTGCATAGTCTACTACACTAGATCCAAGAGCTGAGGAGTATGTGAACCTACCTAAAGAGTCCCCTCTGAACCTACCGTTAACTATGTACAGGCCTAAGGCCCGGCAGAGATGCACGATCTCCTTGCCACTTTTATTTATTCCAGAGTCCAGGTTGTTCCGGTGGGTGATGGTTGGTGTGGTAAATAAGGGAGTTTGACCAAACACATGGTTGTTGCCCTGTGGGTCGATGACATCAGGTTCAATTCCTGTTCGTCCATTTAGATCTCCAGTTAGAAGCACGTTTCCCTGGGCCTGGAAACAGGC